TACCTACACTATTAACTGCCAGCACTAAAACTATTCTTCTTTAGAATGAAACATTAATTAATTCGAATTTGTTTATTGTTTGCGATGAGCGAAAGAATTTTTCAAATCGGCTTAGTAGTTCCGGATATAAAAAAATATATGATATTACATTGTATAACAACGATAAAATTTACAACGAAAGAAACAACGAAGACGATGAATAGAGTACTAATATTCTTGCTTACAGAAGACAAGCCGATGATACCGAGGTGAAGCGAAACGGCACCTATAGAAAGATATGGGAAAAAGAATCCCCGAGCACGACAAAGATGCAGACACCAAAATATTATACAAAAAATCTTATAATAGCATTTACACACATTCGAGAACATGCTCAGGTATTTCACAGCAAACCAAGAGTACAACATTTTCGAGGAGAAAACTACCAAATAGCAATGTGTTCACAGATGGACAGACGATAAAAAAAGACCTCAGTATCGAAACAGATATCTGTGTCCTCAGAAGATACTATAAATACAAGAGAAATTGGATGTCATCAAAAGCAGCAACATCAGCTAAGTCCAAGTACTCAAACTATACTGAAATTGACACCATTGCAGAGTTCAGAGACTCAAGCGCTTGCGGTGACAAATTGCTAGGAGAAGATTTGGGAAATCTACGTCCGCCAACGAACATGGATAGGACAGACATGTTGCTGGAAAATTTCAAGGACTTACTTAATAAATGGATCAGAAAGCATTTGATCCAAGGTAAAGATACAAGAGGGAAAATTGAAGATATTTTTGAAGCTATCTTTCAAGGCGTCGAGTCGAGACGAGCTCGAAAGTCTTCTTCTTGTACGACTTTTATTTTGAGTAAAGAGGATGAAACAGATAACAAAAAAGTTCAAGTAGTAGATGTAGCCGCCTCTACAGATTACAACGGTCAATGCTGCATCAGTAGACATCCTAACATACCCAGTTATGAAAATTTCGAACAATCCCGGTATACTGTCCCAATAATTTGCAAGAATTTAAGAATAATATCGACTTTAAGCATACCACGCAATATACATAGACGTAAAAGATATAATAGAAAAAGTAAACTCCGAAGAATTAAAGTTAATAGAACACCGAACAAAAATTTATTGATATCATATATGAAAACACCACCGAAGTTTTTGGCAACCGTATCGAGTTATAACTTGTTGGCTATTTCAACTAAATCATTAATAAAACGCTGCGTCAATTTCGACGCTAATCGTTTCAAAGATATCGATAAAAACCAACAACAACATTTGATACTTTTTTCTGAACCGTCCTACAAAAGCGCAACTGCCTCTGCGATATCTATAGAAGAAGTAAAATACAAAGATTTAAAAAAATTGAAAATGCATTTCAATGATAAACACCGTCTTCTGAAGAGTAAAAGTTTATTAGAGAAAAACTCGCAAAGAAAAAACGAGAAACCAGCTCACAAAGAAATGAATCATTCCAATAATACGGATACAGTAACCTATAGCACAAAAAACGAAAACACGGATATGTTCAATAACACAGATATATTCGATATCACAGCTAAGTTCAAAAACACACATACTTACAAAAACACAGATCCACTCAAAAATGCAAGTCCAGTAAAAAACACAAGTCCAGTCAAAAACACAAGTCTATACAAAAACACAGATCCACTCAAAAAGACAAATCCACTCAAAAGCTCACATCCACACAAAAACAGAAATTCATTCTTAAACACAGATGCGTTCAAAGACACCAAGTACGCAATTTTTAAAGCTAATGCACAAATTTCATCCATTCTGAACGAGAGGAAGCACAGCGAACCTGTAGTTTCAATTGATTTATTGAATCAGACCTTGGAATATCAAAGAGAAAGAGAAATTAACAGGTTTAAAAGTGAAGAAAATAAGAATGTGAAAAAAACCAAAAATAAACGTCACGACAGATCATTATCTATTATACGCAAGTACGAAAGAAAAAGGCGTCATAATTTTACATATTTGTACAAAAGAGTCAACAGTAAAACTTTTGAACGTGACAAACTCGTGAGAAATATGGAAGATATTATCAAATACATCACCAATTTGAATGGCGGTGGAAACATAAAATTTGAAGTACATTTTGTTCTAGGTTCTGGTAATGTTGATAATAATGAAGAATTACTTAGAATGGAAAACTCTTCTAAATTAGTTCAAAAACAAACAATGAAATCTAAATATTCTAAACCAATTAATGAGACACAGAAACCTACTATGGTGTTCACTGCTAACCAAGCCCCAGGTACAGTTAACAAGATCTTCCTTGCAATGAACAAAAAATCAACTGGATGTATGTGTGACCAAAAAATATCCATAATTTCTTCTCGTACTGAATTAGAAAAAGAGTCTCCAGGAATTGGATGTATGTGTGACAAAGGAATATCTGAATTTTCTGCTCATACTGAATTAGGAAAAGAAATTACTCCTGAAATTATTCCAATATTGGATGGAGCCGCGAGTCAAACTAAGTACATGGTTAGTACACATTCTATACCAAAAGATAATGCGATGGAAATTATTCAAGAACTACAGCAAGAAAATATGAAGGAAAATGCCAAAGACAAAGATTACAAAGTGCAGCAAACTAGTAAACAGGCAGTTCCATTTATAGATTTTGATCTAAAGCAAGAAATAGAGGAACTTAGAACGGCTATAAGAGATTTAGCATCAACTACAGAGAAACTACTGAAGGAACATTACCAAACCAAAATTTCAACTGCAGATGGAACTATCAACAGTGATACAAGAATAGAAAGCAAAAAGGGTTCTAGTTTGAACTTAGATGCTACATTACCAAATCATAGAAACAGTGTAGAGTTGGGGACAGTAGGTAAGAAATATTCGAGTATAATTAATAGTGTAGAGAATAGATCAAATAGTAAAAGGCTTTCGAGCGGTGACGCCACTACAAACAGTCTGGATAGAATAGATAGTAAAGAAGAGGAAGAAAATGAAGTAAGGGTTATACAATACATTACAAATACGAGTTTAATCAAAGATCAAACGATAAAGGCAACGCAGTATTCTACAAAAATACCACCACCCAATTATCACAAATCTGACAGTATTCAAGTTGTCACTGGAAATAAGCGTGACAAAGGTTTGCAAAATTCTAGTCAGAAGGTGACAATAGAACAATCACAGGAACAAAAGAAAAGAATGACATCTGCATTAAAGAAACACAGCGCGTCATACAGAGTTATAGAAAGTGAATCAGTTATAAAAGTAACTAACATGACGTCAAATTCGAGTGATTCGAAGCAGCAAATGTATTATGATAAAGCACTTACGTGTTCTTTGCCAAGATCGAGGTCTCTTTTTGAATTTTCTATGGATTTTACTAATCGGGATATACTCGCTTACTTTTGCGACAATATTAAGACACCGTTACGCTCTGCGTTCACGTACGTGACGCCCGCAATTTCGCCTTCGAGTAGAAGTCGAAGCGAGTCCAGAAGAGGTAACGTGATAAATATAGAGGAGGGACAAATTTCCAAGACGAGTAACGAAGAAAGCGATCAACACAAGAGCAGTGGATCAACAATTTTCGAAGAAACTTATTCTCCTGATGGATCAAAGCAGGTTAAGTTTAGAACAATGGGTGTCAATGAAGGTGTTTTGTTATGTACGGTAATATTTGTTCCTGTGATCATTATTATTGTGCTACTGTATGAGTTTGTATTAAAAGAGAAAAATTCTAGTCCGCCTAAAAGCGATCTTGATCCTAATCTTTACTTAAAATTGTCTGATTTAGGTTTTTGATGCTTTTTTAAACACTGTTTTAATAAAGTTTTCTACTTTATATGATTTTGCAATTCACTTGAAAACGCAGGCATTTATCACAATAACATTAACACAGAAGATGAACTAAATTGCACACTCGAATGTATTTTATGTTTTTAAAATACGTAGTGAAAAGTTCTGCTGTAATTTGTAAATAGTGTATTGTCTAAGATAAAACACACATAGAGAGATACTACAGCTAGTTGGACACACAGAATCCATTTTACTTTCTTACACGCAAAATAGGCGCTTTGTCGTCGAGTTGCGGATACCAGCCCGTTGCACCAAGTACCAAGTACCAAGTACTCTCTTTCAGAAGTCACAAACTCAATTATTTACTACAAAACTTTAAATGTATATCTGATGAAAATTTCTAGAAGTTAGGTAATTTTAATCGTCATTCATGAGTAAATATGTCTCCCTAAATGTTCACCATACATTTGGTTATACAGTCAAGATCAAAATCACATCAACAGTCACCTAAGGCGATATCCACAAAAGCGCGGAGCGCCGCCGTCACGAATGCTGTATTTTAATTTTGAATCGGTTTCTGGCAATTTTCACGCATAACCTCATACGGGCAAATGTTATTAATGGCATAGCGATGACACTAACACAAAAATTTTAACACGTCTTATTGGTTAATTAATCTCCAAAATTCCAAAGTTCCAAATATAAATATTAAATTAAGGGACACATAAGATTGAAACTGAAATAAGCAGAACGTTGACTTTTGTAAAATGTGCTGTATTAGCAGCACACCGAATATATTTAAAATTGATCAATTCCCGTGCAGATTGTTTTGACGCAGACTGTGCCATTTTCAATTGTGGATTTTGTGAAAGAGACCTTTTTCCAAATGATCAATGTTTGTTACAGAAATTATTGAGTAGCGACAATATGCAGCACTATGAAGAAAAAAATACTGTAAAAAATAAGAAAACTTCAAAACCAACAGGAAAATGTCAGGAACTTTTACAAACTTACGTCGTGGCATTCGCTATTCAAGAAACATACGATGAACCGCCCACTGGACGTCAAAAGCTTTGTAAGAAACGAAGTTTATCTGAGATCATTTCCTCATTAACTCCAACTGCTTCGAATAAAACGGTGGCTTTGGATTCCAAGTCAGTTCAAAGACTTGCTCAGAAATGTGACACATATCAAGATTGCAATGAAATAAAAATTGATATAATTGATGAACACGACAAACAAAGCGGCGATGTGAAAAAGGATCCTCCACAAAAAATAGTCTACATTGCAGACAATAACATTGCAGAGGACAATTACAACATGCAGCCGCAAACACTATTCTATTGCTCAAAAAACAAACCAAAAACTGAAAGAAAACGATCTAAAAAATCAAACCATGCTGTCAAGGTTAAAAATATGACTTTTAAAATTAAAAATAACAACATGAAGAAGAAAATAGAACAATATTATCCAAAGGAGAAACATAGCTCGGCGAGTGCACAAATTCAAAAAGATTTGTGCTCCGATGCTCTATCGAAATTGCTTTCTCGGACCAGATTATTAAAAAATGCTCAAGCCACCGAAAACTTGCTTAAAGTAGCAGAACTAAACAGGAATGGCGAAGAATTGGACTACAACGGCAACGAAAATTCGTCCTTGTTTTCAGAATCTACTTCAAAATGTCTACCTACTGACACTTCAAGTCATAATACTTTGACGCAAGATGGTAGTGGAACAGCTACACGATCAGACGAGTTTTTCATTATCAATACTGACTCTGTCGTAAAGTTGGAGTTACCTCCAGGAGGCACAAATCCTTATAAGCCTAATATCTTCAATATGGTCGTAGCTTACAACACAGCAATGCCTCCTACGGAAAAGCGATTTAATGAAAAAGAGAGATTTTCCTTTGGAAGTCTTACAAGCACTGAGACTCTTACTGCTGTGAATGGTTCTTTAACGTCTACACCACCATATTTTGTTTCGAAAACCAACAAAAACTCACAAATATTAAATTTTGCCCAACAGGATTTCAGTGACCGAACTCTTCAAGGTGAAAAGACTATTTCAGAAAAAACTATTAGTTACAACCAATTTTTCATCGCCAAAACTAGCTCAGACTTACAAAATCAGAGTTCTGATTCTGCTTGTACAAGGTCTGAATCAGGTTCCTATGCACCAATTTATTGTGACAAAGCAAATTTCCAATCACAAATCGTAGATTCAGAGAGCGTAGATACACATAGTGTACATTCAAATAGACATAGTATATTTGATAACGTCATTAATTTGGGACTATACCCAGAATTAGTACAATCAACAAATTCTGCTAACAAATTTAAAGATTCTTTTGAAAATCAAGTTATCGTGATAGACAAACAACCTTCTCTCTTTGTAACAGACAAACAACCTTTTTTGTCACAAACAAATGCCAAAACTATTGATCGAATTAAAAAATCTAGAACCGGTTTCAAAAAGTATCCTCATAATAATTTGAAATATATGCCGACACATAAAAATCTGAGTTTACCAAACAACGCTGCTATAAGAGCAATGCTTGACGACGCTAATTCAAGAAAGGCGAATTTCGAAGAAACTAATTCTCGATTACAGCCTGGTGTCCCTAAATCCATGCCTGAGTTATGGGACCGGCTTTCTTTAGTGCTAGATTCAGCCATAACAAGACTAGAGCAGACGCTAGCTGAGAAAATCATAAAGGAAATCAAAAGCAACACTTTTTCAGATTCTAAACCACTATTTCAAATGAAAAAAGTTCAAAATCACGTTATTACTGCCAATAAATCATTGGACATCAAGCTGAGTATTTTAAAGGCTTCTGAAGACAAGGAAGTATTAGTTAAAGACGAATCAGAAACAATAATTGATGGGGATAAAAATTTCCAATGTGATTTGATCGAGAGTAGGGTTATAGATCAGTTGATGTTGCGTTTGAGTTTTGAGCATCCTAAAGCATTAGTTAGTCGTGTATCTCAAGTGAAGATTCTCAAAACTCCTAGTGCATCGGATAGGTTGAAAGAGCCTCAAATTCTTAGGAAATGTTTTGAACTACTGAATCCTCCATCTTCTGAAACGCAGACGTTGGAAGAAATTAAAGGGGCAGAAATATCAGCTACGGCAACATTATTGTCAAATAACACAGACGTGCGTCTTCGTTCATTAAGCAGTCGTTTCAAGGGTGCATTAGAAACACCAGCCGAATTCATCAAAGAAAATGCGTTAGTAATTACGACAGTACCTGTATTTTTTTTGGGTTTGTTTACCTTGTATTGTTTAATTGCACTCGCTACAAAATTGTGAATTTTGGTGTCAATTTGTGTTTTAATTTCTTGCGTGTGACTTTTGGACTAACTATTACACTTTCTAGAGGCTAAGAAATAAATCCAGTAGATTGTAGTGCAGCGCTGCTAAGTGCGTGGTTATAAGTGCACCTCTTATTATTAATATATGTAGATAATTCAGCTGATATAGAGCAACACATTTTAGTAGCTGTAGAGTTTCATGTGAAAGTGTTCGTCCAGGCAAGTACCTTACTTATTTCTGGCTAAGCATGAGCATACCGCAAAAACGAACGGTCCCAGTGGCTGTGTTCGGTATATTGCGCTTCTCCCGTTAGCGAACTGTAACGTGATAGATACAGTAACGAGGTTTTAACGTATGCGTGAAACAGTCTTCATTCGGTAGAATGAGTACTTGATTATCGTCGGCTCACTGCGAACCCCACGCGTTCCGCTCGCGATCCATGTACTCACTATGATTTTTGGTAACATAACATGCAACGGTTAAGATTACACCTTGCTAGTGAGTACCCGGCTGTACCTGTGCCCACGAACATAATGTGGGGATGGGGGAATGTGGTGATTGTACGTAGCTTCAATGCTCAGAAATAATCCAATGAATTGTGGTAAGTAATAGTAGTTTATGGAATTTACAATAGAGTTTGGAACTCTAGGCGAAGGAAAGATGTAGTAAATAAAAAGTTTGCCTTGCAACGCCAAATGAAGTGACAACGATGTCAAAAGGAAATGTGATGCGGTATAACCGTAGACGGAGAAAACTATAGACTGCTGTACGTCTTCCATCTCACTTACTCAAGAAATAGAAAATTATACACAAAATTATTGCAAAGAAAAGACACAAAGCCTAACATTTCCTGTTCTTTATCGCGTGTCACGTTTTTTCAAGGTCAGCATTTCACTTGCTAAACAAAGTTTGACGTTTGATACGTGTTTAAAAGAGGTTGCGACGAAATCTGAAATTATTTTCATTTAATACTATTTTGTGTTTTGTGTTGAGGTTTGACCTTGTCTATTGCTGCAAAATGGTACGGTGCAGTGTTCTAGGTTGCAAAACGATAGTGAGAAGAAAATTACCGGGATGGTCTTACCATTCGTAAGTAGCTAAATATTTCAGTTTATTTGGTGGAAGTTTCAATTATTATGGTTTATAAACTGTTCAAATACTTATTAACGTTGTTTCAAGATAAAATGAGTGCTGAAATACAGGTGAATTAAGTTTTTTTACACAAGTTAGTTCACTTAGCCGCTCACGCGATGCGCTCCTCCTACCGCAAAATGGCGGCTATTTAGTTTCGCAAATTAGAAAAGCATTCACTTTAAATACAAGTTTTTATAAATAAAAATTATTATTCTGCATTGCTAAATAAATACCCTCCGTACTACCAACAAAAACATCTCAAATAAAATGCAGTAATACACCGCAAATCCTGCACTTATAAAGCACTAATGAAATTTTTGGTGTACTTGGATAAATATGATAGTATTCCGTTTGAGTGGTTCTAACGTTTACCATGAAATTACTCCTTTAAGTATAGTTTATAAACATTTCTATTCAGGGTAAACTTAAAAAACGCTACTTATGGTATGTTTTCAATAAATAAACACCGAAATCACCAGCCCAAACAATGACACACACGATTGTCGTAACGTATTTTTGAAGTTGTTTATTTTTTTTTTAATGACAGACCCAGGCATTAAATACTTTATGGTTTGCTAGAGTAGTTACCGAAATAGCAATTAATATTAGTTCTTTTACCTGTTATAACTTCGATATCCGATAAATCGGTATAAAATCATCACCGGCACCTCTGGGTGTGGTATGCGTCTACGGCTGTATGTATCGCGTGAGCGGGTATTCTCAAATTTCAGTGTTGCCGACGTTTTACTCGTATATTACCCCATTGTAGGGGAAAATAGCATGCCAATAAATTGCAATAAATGCGTACTTGAATCATTTCCGATGAATGCTTTAGTATAAAGCGCCCGTAGCGCTGGTAGCTACTATGCTTGAAAAGTTATTCCACTTTTCACCGAGCGTAAGGTACCATCTTCAACATTTTAGTCCTAATTATAGCATAAAATATTGTGTATAATTATAGTGTTGTAAAATGTTTAGATTTCCCGAAAAACCAGAATGTGAATTCTCAAATGTGAGGAAGGGAATTATTGAAAAGAGAGATAGAGGAGGCCCTATTTATCCCGCTAAAGACGTTGTGACAGTATGCGAAACTGCTGAAAAAATATTTCGACATCGTTCGCATCAAGATTTGTCATTTTATAATGAAAAAAGTAATACCTAAATTGGTGTTTTCATGTTTTAAAGCATGCTGTAGTAAGATTTCCGTAAACGATCATTTTATCATTTTGATTCTCAGCCTTTAATAGGTAATCATAGAAGCCTTTTGATTAAAGCAATTGCAATGTATTACTTTGAACCACGCATTCACCATGCCACTGAAGAGTCTTTTGCACCACAGCAAAGAATGCGAAATGTTTATACTAAATTAGTACTGTTTCAAGGGCAATAATAAAATACTATTTTGACTTTCATGTTTTTTTTTCTATTTTAAAGCCTGTGCGTTTGTAAAAGTTAAAAATATTTAACGAAAACTACGAAGTCTAAAGTTTCAGGTACCTTGATTTTATGTCCCCTACAGCGATTGGCTAAGTAGTCTTCCTCTGTCTACCTAAAAATAGTAAAAAATCACAACTTTTTTGTGTATATTACAGAAGTTACGGGGAAAAGTGCTTCACATCCTGGTAACACTAAATTTCAGATGTACTTATCTGTCCTTTTCATCGGCACGCTTACTCGCTGTCTATAGTTTTCTCCGTCTACGGGTATAACCTTAGACTATGGAAACTTATTTTTTTTTCCATCCTCTAAGGGTTATTTTTTTTTATTTATTTATTGAGGAATGACAAACAATTGTACATGGTGAGTTA